TCTCCGAGAAGCCGTGCCTTGGTCTTCAAATACTGACACAGCTGCTGAAATTCATGGTTGTTTGTCAGTGCCATTTGTCTGTGTCTGTGTGTGTCTGTCAGTGCCGGTATCAGTGTCAGTGTCAGTCAGCCAGACACAGGGCAGAAGAGACTGACAGAGAGGGCGACTTGGAAGGGTTAGTAAATACATTAAGCGGGTTTGCAACGGGATTTGCACCCAAATTCAACATTCTGTTCTAATCGTTTGAGGCTCAAAACCAGTCAAAAGGAACTTGTTCTTCTATAGAAAAGTTCCTTTTGGCTGGTTTTAGTATTTTTAAAGCTTGCTGGCTGCCTGGTTTTTGGGTTCCTGGCTGGCTTGCCTCAATTCAAACCACTCACAACCCTCCCAAACACTGCACTTGCGTTCAGAACTTACAATTCTTGGGTTTGCATATACTACAGCTGGAAGCAAAAGAGAAGCAGTACAGCAGCAAAGGGTCGAATATTTTCCTCTAGGTTTTTAAGGCTCAAAACCAGTCAAAAGGAACTTTTCCTTCGATAGAAAAGTTCCTTTTGGCTGGTTTTCGGAGTTTTAAGGGTCCTCCGTAAATATTCCCCGGGTCCTCTGTAAATATTCCAAAACCAGTCAAAAGGAACTTTTCCTTCGAAGGAAAAGTTCCTTTTGACTGGTTTTGGGATTTTTAAAGCTTGCTGGCTGGGTTTTTTGGGGTTCCTGGCTGGCTGGCTGCTTCAATTCAAGCCACTCACAACCCTCCCAAACAGGGCACTTGCGTTCGGAAGTTTCACACAGGGGTTGGTTTGCATTCCATTCGTGAATTGATATCAGTAAATAATATTGCAGCTGGAGCTAAAAGACAGTACAGCAGCAAAGGGTCGAATATTTTCCTCTAGGCTTTTTAAGGCTCAAAACCAGTCAAAAGGAACTTTTCCTTCGATAGAAAAGTTCCTTTTGGCTGGTTTTCGGAGTTTTAAGGGTCCTCCGTAAATATTCCATGGGTCCTCCGTAAATATTCCAAAACCAGTCAAAAGGAACTTTTCCTTCGAAGGAAAAGTTCCTTTTGACTGGTTTTGGGATTTTTAAAGCTTGCTGGCTGGGTTTTGGGGTTCCTGGCTGGCTGGCTGCTTCAATTCAAACCACTCACAACCCTCCCAAACACGGTTGCTTCAGAACTTACACAGGGCTTGGTTTGCATATATTACAGCTGGAAGCAAAAGAGAAGCAGTACAGCAAACGGCCGAATATTTTCCTCTAGGCTTTTTAAGGCTCAAAAACAGTCAAAAGGAACTTTTCCTTCGAAGGAAAAGTTCCTTTTGACTGGTTTTGTGATTTTTAAAGCTTGCTGGCTGGGTTTTGGGGTTCCTGGCTGGCTGCTTCAATTCGGAAGTTTCACACAGGGGTTGGTTTGCATTCCATTCGTGAATTGATATCAGTAAATAATATTGCAGCTGGAGCTAAAAGACAGTACAGCAGCAAAGGGTCGAATATTTTCCTCTAGGCTTTTTAAGGCTCAAAACCAGTCAAAAGGAACTTTTCCTTCGATGGAAAAGTTCCTTTTGACTGGTTTTGGGATTTTTAAAGCTTGCTGGCTGGGTTTTGGGGTTCCTGGCTGGCTTGCCTCAATTCAAACTACTCAGAACTTACACAGGGCTTGGTTTGCATATATTACAGCTGGAAGCAAAAGAGAAGCAGTCCAGCAAACGGCCGAATATTTTCCTCTAGGCTTTAAGGCTCAAAAACAGTCAAAAGGAACTTTTCCTTCGAAGGAAAAGTTCCTTTTGACTGGTTTTGGGATTTTTAAAGCTTGCTGGCTGGGTTTTGGGGTTCCTGGCTGGCTGCTTCAATTCGGAAGTTTCACACAGGGGTTGGTTTGCATTCCATTCGTGAATTGATATCAGTAAATAATATTGCAGCTGGAGCTAAAAGACAGTACAGCAGCAAAGGGTCGAATATTTTCCTCTAGGCTTTTTAAGGCTCAAAACCAGTCAAAAGGAACTTTTCCTTCGATGGAAAAGTTCCTTTTGCTTGGTTTTGGGATTTTTAAAGCTTGCTGGCTGGGTTTTGGGGTTCCTGGCTGGCTGCTTCAATTCAAGCCACTCACAACCCTCCCAAACACGGCACTTGCGTTCGGAAGTTTCACACAAGGGTTGGATTGGTACAAGTAAATATTACAGCTGGAAGCAAAAGAGAAGCAGTACAGCAGCAAAGGGTCGAATATTTTCCTCTAGGTTTTTAAGGCTCAAAACCAGTCAAAAGGAACTTTTCCTTCGATAGAAAAGTTCCTTTTGGCTGGTTTTCGGAGTTTTAAGGGTCCTCCGTAAATATTCCATGGGTTGTCTGTAAATATTCCAAAACCAGTCAAAAGGAACTTTTCCTTCGAAGGAAAAGTTCCTTTTGACTGGTTTTGGGATTTTTAAAGCTTGCTGGCTGGGTTTTGGGGTTCCTGGCTGGCTGCTTCAATTCAAGCCACTCACAACCCTCCCTAACACGGCACTTGCGTTCGGAAGTTTCACACTAGGGTTGGTTTGCATTCGAAGCAGTACAGCAGCAAATCGTCGAATATTTTCCTCTAGTGCTTTTAAGGCTCAAAACCAGTCAAAAGGAACTTTTCCTTCGATAGAAAAGTTCCTTTTGGCTGGTTTTCGGAGTTTTAAGGGTCCTCCGTAAATATTCCATGGGTTGTCTGTAAATATTCCAAAACCAGTCAAAAGGAACTTTTCCTTCGAAGGAAAAGTTCCTTTTGACTGGTTTTGGGATTTTTAAAGCTTGCTGGCTGGGTTTTGGGGTTCCTGGCTGGCTGCTTCAATTCAAGCCACTCACAACCCTCCCAAACAGGGCACTTGCGTTCGGAAGTTTCACACAAGGGTTGGTTTGCATTACATTCGTGAATTGATACAAGTAAATACTAGAGCTGGAAGCAATACAGCAGCAAATGGTCGAATATTTTCCTCTAGTGCTTTTAAGGCTCAAAACCAGTCAAAAGGAACTTTTCCTTCGATAGAAAAGTTCCTTTTGGCTGGTTTTCGGAGTTTTAAGGGTCCTCCGTAAATATTCCATGGGTCCTCTGTAAATATTCCAAAACCAATCAAAAGGAACTTTTCCTTCGAAGGAAAAGTTCCTTTTGACTGGTTTTGGGATTTTTTAAGCTTGCTGGCTGGTTTTGGGGATCCTGGCTGTGGCTGCTTCAATTCAACTCACTCACAACCCTCTCTCAAGCACGGCACAAGTTCACACATTTGAAGCAAGTGCTTATCAGAGCCGAAGTCAAAGGGAAAACGAATATTTTTTCTAGGCTATCTAATAATCAACTCAAGGCTCAAAACATAACCAAGCTTCCTGGGCTGGGTTCAGTATAGGCTTCTTGGCCTTGAATTCTTATCACTCAAGATCCTTCCACTTTTCCAAGCACTGCAGTCATTTCAGAAGTTCAATCATTGTGCACACGTGAACCGAGTTGAAGTGACACTTGCTTATTCTGAATTGCGAAAGGAAATTGCCCTCAAGAGCAAAGCTTTCCGAATTATTGCAATGTTGTCTAATACCCTGTATATTGACATAGTTTGTCTTTGCGGGGGTGTTTAGTAGCTTGAGAACAACGCATTTTTTCATCAGGTGTGGAATGGATTTGTCAATAATTGCTTCCAGCTTGTTCCAATCTTCGTGTGACGCAATGACTTGACTTGAGTTATTCTTCGGATTGCTTCTGTCATGATCTTGACTTGCCCAGGGTTGTGAACTAACCAGCCGTCCCAGCTAAGATGGTTACACTATTACACTACAACAGACACAGCACAGACAATATAAAGGTGCAAGCCACGATTCGGGTCGGCTGGTCAGCGGGCTCGGGGGTTCGGAACCCCCGGAGTGGGCCGTCTCAGCTGAGACGGCCCAACAGCAAGCCGCGATTCGGGTCGGCTGGTCGGCGGGCTCGGGGGTTCGGAACCCCCGGAGTGGGCCGTCTCAGCTGAGACGGCACACTCCGGGGGTTCGGACAGGAATGTTGCCCGTGTCACTTTTGAGCTGACTCAGGGGGTTGTGTTTTCGTAACCCCCGGAACAATCCGTCTCAGCTGAGACGGCTTGTTCCGGGGGTTACGAAAACGCAACCCCCTAAGTTCGGAAAAACCATCCCAAGAGCTGTATGAAAGCTGGGGCGATTTTTCCGAAGTCAGGGGGTTGCGTTTTCGTAACCCCCGGAACAAGCCGTCTCAGCTGAGACGGCTTGTTCCGGGGGTTACGAAAACACAACCCCCTGAGTCAGCTCAAAAGTGACACGGGCAACATTCCTGTCCGAACCCCCGGAGTGTGCCGTCTCAGCTGAGACGGCCCACTCCGGGGGTTCCGAACCCCCCGAGCCCGCCGACCAGCCGACCCGAATCGCGGCTTGCTGTTGGGCCGTCTCAGCTGAGACGGCCCACTCCGGGGGTTCCGAACCCCCGAGCCCGCCGACCAGCCGACCCGAATCGCGGCTTGCTGTGTGTTAAACACCATTCATCTCAGCTGGGTCGGCTCGTGTCTGAGCGAGGTTCGGAACCCCAATTTTAAAGCCTCTTCGCTTGCGTGCGCTTGCCCATTGTGAGCACCGGCCGCATCGTGCCCCGTGTGCAGGTGTCGCACAAAATTGTCAAATAATGAACTAGCTCGAGTCTATTTCCTTTCAGTAGCATTGGCACTTGTGTTGTTGTTGAGGCAAGGCATGCTATTTTACCACACGTCTGGTTCTAGTTACAACTCCAAAGTCAGAAGAGGGAGAGGCGAGGTAAGGGTATTTAATTGGACCCTGTCTTTGGCAGTCGCTTTGTGATGTGGCTCGCAGGAAACATGAGACAACCCTTTGACAGAAGCTAAAGTGGTAGACTCGGCAGATAACTGCGTAAGTGCGTATAATAAACGGCACAGTGTTCTGTCTAATGTCAACTGTCATTATAATTACCAGCTGTCAGACCATGAAGTCTGAAAACAACAACGTAGTTAGCCATTATTAGCCAATGCCGACATCACATGTCCCGGTATCCTGGCCAAGCAGACCCGCCGACTGCGAGCAGTGACGAGGATTTGCTCCGGCAGTCTGATGATGAGGCTCATTCGGCGAGTCTCTCCCTGGCAAGTTCCAGCCCGCCACCAGCGTCGGCGTCGGACCAGGATCTGTTCCAGGAAGATGACTGTCTGCAACATGAAAGTGATGCTGCGTCGTCTCGCAGCCCCTCGAAGCATCATGTTCATTGTTAATAATTTTCCGGGAAAGACGCTAATCAGTCAGTAATACACGCTGGTTTTTTTTCGGAACTCAGGCCAGGGTCTGTTATCTGACGACGGGGCGAATCAACAAGAAGATCCTGGTGGCCGTTCGGAGTGGAACCAGGGTCGAAACACAGGACACTGGATTTCTCGGCAGGCCCCGTTGCTTGAGCAGGGCCAGGTGCTACTGGTGAACGCAGTTCGGAACTGTGGTCGGTTGTCCGTTGAGCTGCTCAGGCGTGTTTCGTCGGCATTGGATGTGCCAAGAAGACAGGCATCGCATGCCCAAGCTCTGGCTGCACACCTTCTCGGTGTTTCAGTGTCGCTGTTGAAGCGAACGGTGCAGCTGGTGGACGTAAACGGTGGGCAGCCAACAGGGAAGGAGCCTGACAACCACCCTGATGTCAGCGTTGTTCACCAGCAGCGTCCAACCTGGCGGCAAGAATGTGAAGTCACTGTACGCCTGGCACTGGGATGTGCTTATGAGCGCCAGGGTCAAAACTCCTTCGAAAGGGCAGTCGCTCGACACCTTCAGGCCCAGCAGGCGTCTGGCATCCCTGGTCAGTGTCAGCTTCAGGGTCTGGCGCTGACGGGCTTCTACGACGAGGCGATCTACTGGTCGGCCAGGGTCCTTCAGGAGATGGATGCGCTTCAGTGGTCGGAGCCTCTGAACGGCTTGGGTATCCCTAGCGACTTCGCTCTCCTGATTGACCCTGTCAACATGGATGCAGGTGCCTTCAGCCGTCAGTACAGTCTGGCGGTCGTCGCCTTGTGTATATGCTCCCCGTCGACTGGCGGCCTTGTGGGCCCAATGGTCGGGGCGGAAATACTGCCATTTGGTGGGCACAACTTTGAGCCTCTGCAGGCGCTCATCCAGAAGATCCTGGACTCGCACCCCGCTGGTTTGGGTCTGCATTCGCTTCGGGGTCGTTGTGCCTGCGTCGGAGGAGACGGACAAATCGTTCGAGGTGGCTCGGCAGCTGCCCATGGATCCTCCGGCGTCGCAGAGCGCTTATGGCAAACCATTCACGAGGACGGCCTCAGCGGTCTGTTTCTGGAGTGGGAGGCAACTGCATGGGACAGGTTTCATGTTGCGGATATTTGCCTGTCCAGGGCGGTTCGTTCCAGCCCGTCAGCGTCGGAAGTTTTACAAATTGTGGCGGAGCTGGACACCTTGTTCGGCGTCGGGGAAGGCAAGGTCCTGTTCGAGAGCGTCGCCAACAGGGTCGGCATTCCCTTCGTCAAGCTTCCGAGACTGAGTGGGACCAGAAAAATGGTGTACCTGCGTCTGAGTCTGGTGAAGAACTTCAAGCTCATAGTGCTTTGCTTGCACGCCAGGATCCATTGGAAGCACGAAGGCAAGGGCTCAGCCACTTTGGAGCGCCTGCTGTCTGTGAGCCGCCGAGTCACAGACATCAGCTTTGTCTCTTGGCTACCGCAGCGAGAATCAATATGTTCATTTTTTGTTTTGTTGACGTTTAAAGTGATTGCCTTATATAATAAAACACAAAGCTTGACGAGATAACAAGACTGCACGAGGTATCCTTTTTAGTGCCTTTCGAGATGCTGATGGAGGAGGCAGTGTCGCCCTACGTCCTCATTTCCCAGAAGCTGATAGAGCCTCGAGCTGCGAAAACTTCGGGCCAGGACATGCTCAGAAAACTGCGGTCGTTCAGTGTCGCCCTGGACTTCTTGCCGGTTTTTCTCACTGTCCTTTGCTTGCTGCGTCAGCACGTCGGCGAGTCGGACTTGCGGAGCTATGCCAAGGCGATGTTCAGTTGGTCAGCTCTACGTCCGTGTCGCATGCTGCTGCCGCGGCTGATGCCCCTTATCTTCGACAGGAATCCAAGCTTTGGAGGCTGTAGTCTGACCCGGCTATACGAAAGCGATCCAGCAAGCATTATTCTGGGCCCACACTGTCAATGTGGTATGCGAGCCCGGCACCTGCGAGGGCGTGGGCAGGAAGCTGCGAGGTCGAACAGGATGTCTTGGACTCTGAATTTACCTGCGACTTTGGGAGGACGACGGCGGCGAACGCAGTTAGTCACCTTGGTCTGTTTGTGGTGTAATGTTGTTGCTGGCATTGCTCTTGAGGGAAAACTTTTCTGATATCATCAACGCTGCTTCTGTCCTTTACGTCGTTGGTTTGCTTGACTGACGGGCGATGATATTCTGAGGTGAGACTGCAGGTGCCCCTCTGGACGAATGCAAGATTGGATTCCAACTGGCCTTACCACATGCCCCGATACCAGCTGGTTACACGCGAGGAGGCCAGCCAGCAACAAGGTGTTACGAACATCTTCAGGGTCCATGTTCGTGATCGCAGGGCTAGCTCTTGCCCGCATACTGACGCAGATGGTTTGGTGGCGTGGCGCCGCAGGGGTGCGTGCCCTTGCTCATGGACATCCAGATGCAAGGTTCCACTGGGTGTCTATGAGTCGCATCGTCACATCCTGGAAGGCCTAGCGGCAATGCGTCAATTTGTCATCGACAGCATCGGTCAGCTGTCTGAAGGCCTGACAAACAAAGCCTACAATGCCGAGATGCTGCAAGTCCTGGACGCCTGTGATGATTGCTTCGATTGGGGGTTCCTCTGCTTCCAGCGTCCTCTCAAGCGTCACGCGGACGCCTTCCGCAATGTGTTGGGCATGTTGAAGCCCTTCTTGCAGCATTCGCTCTGGCCACCAGCGTCAGCGTCTGACTATGCCCTGGTCAAGAGGACATGGGACCTGCCAGAGAATGTTCTGCTGCTGCAATATGGTTGGCTTTGTGAGAGAGTCCGATGCACGGCTTCCCTAGCATTCCGGCGTCAGGGCTGGAGCGGAAGCTTTGACGGCAGCAAGCAAAAGACGGCGCCGGAGGAGGTTGTGCAGACTGCGGTGGCAGAATGGTTCGTCCTGCAGTCCGTCAGCGTGAGATCGCTCTATGTGCTGGGCAGCGTCGAGGCGTTGGTCGGGAAGAAGATCAGGAGCCCATCCGTCAGCGTCGTCTCACTGAAGAAGATTGCTTCGGCCATCTCTCTTTTCTGTGGGTCAGTTGCCGGTTCGACTTTGCCGGCTTCAGCTTACGAGGTCTTCCAGCTGTCGCCCTCCTGCCATGTGCTCGGTGGTGATTAGTTTCAGTGTCAGCTTCATGAATGTTTGGCATGTTCTCTTGAACCTGTGCCAGACTGTGTGCGCGAGGTTTGGGTCCTGTCGGGGGAATGCGAAAGAAGCGCAAGCGTGATATCCTGGACATGCAGATGATGGCAGTCGGCAGCATCGCGACCATCTGCCAAGGATCCCACTGTGGCAAGCTTGTCGTTGTCGACACGATGGATTCTGGGCTCGGCCACGATAAAGCTTCGAAAGAAAACATAAGCATCGTGATTATTGATGTTAAATATGTGGCTGTATGCCGGGTCCAATTTTTTGAACTGAGGAGTTCGCAGTCAATTCTGCAGCTGTCAGTGCTACAGTCGACATGCACAAGTTTTTCCATGTGGGCCAGCCGTCAGCGTCTGCTACGGGGTCAGTATCGGCGTGGCACGCGGGTCGCATTCACCACAGGTATCGGATGCTGAATCCAGCCTCTTCCATCGTTGAAAGACTTGGCTCCATCGCTCATCTGCACTGGAATCCTCGGGAGCACATGGCTCCCAGGGTCTACGTCGACAAGCTCCTGCTGTCGGCCGCCCGCGTCAATGTCTTGGGGAACCCGCGGGACGAGCTCATCGTGAAGGAGGTGTCTGCTGTCATGGAATCTGATGGCCATTTTCAGAAAATTTTATACCTTTCTGCTGCTGTTCGAATCTGGCAACAGCCTGTATAATAATAAGTATTAATAGTAGGTAGGCAGTGATGTAATTTTTTCGTATACTCGGTCATCGGAGCCTGAAGGAGAGGACACGCAGCAGACGGCGTTGGGCGTCTGAGTCGGCGTTGGCCCGTGTTCGTCAGCTGGATGCGACAGCGTCGACGTTCCACAGCGTCGGCCTGGATGCCGCGGCCCGCTACGACGAAGAGGACGTTTTCGACCTGCTGCGTCCCGTGGACATGCCCTCAGCCGTCGGCGTCACCAACAGGACCATGATCCGACGGCTGAAGTCTGCGTCTAAGCAGGCGGAGCTGCCGGCAAGCGTGGACAGGCTGATGGACCAGCTTCAGGGTCAGCTGGCGAACAAGGGCGTGCTGGATGCCCTCCCAGTGTCAGCGTCGGTCTCCAGGAAGAAGCAGACGGCCATGGAGACTGATCGGCTGAGGGAGTGGCTGCAGTCAGACGATGGCAAGGCATGGAAGTCCCAGCGGGCGGAGACTTGGTCTTCTGCCAGCTGGGCGCCTGCGTCGTCGGCGTCTTCGGGGTCGACCGCCGCAAAGCCTGCCTCGTCGGGGTCGATAGCCTCAATGCCTGCGTCGGGGTCAATGGCCGCAAAAGCTTCCTGCCCCGGATTGTTGGCATGGTTTCCTTATTTTGGCATGGTTTCCTATCCTTCGTCCATTAGACTAGAATCTAGAGCCAATAAGTTAAGAAAGGGACGAGACTTAGACTTAGTAGTTGTAGTGCAACAAATTCGACAACTACTGAGGCTAAGACCCAGACTGCAGCGGCGAAGGCCAAAAGCGCCAAAACGAAGCCGAAAGCTGCCGGGTAGATCTCATGCATTCGGCGTCAGTCAGACCAATGGGCTGTCAGCCCGCTTCACGAAGTGACGTTTCACAGTCTTATCGGCATTCTCCTTTGAAAACTCAAGTTGAGAGAGCCCGTGACAAGTCAGACACAGCGTGCTTCTTGCAAAAAGGGAGAGAAGAGAGAGAGGGAGAGATCCGTGATATTGTGGGATTGTGTCGACCACAAAGACTATGCGTGACAACTTTTCACTATCAAAGGTGCCAGCATGGACATTGCTGATGATGAGTCCGACAGTGGACTCTTTGTCTTTGACGAGGACGGTGATATTGCGGTCCGAGTTTGATCCATTCCGGCAGTCTGTATATTATATGTCTGCATATAATATGCAACTAACTAATGAATAAATGAATTAGTCTACCTGTAGCTTCATGCAGCATGAAAAGGATGATGACACGGCATCAGCCCAGATGGATGCTACAGAGGATGATGTGGCTTGGTTTCGACAACAATGCAAAATGTCTTTTGCTGGAGCCTCTGTTTGTTATTGTTGGGGCTCCGTCACTGAAACACCGGCAAGGACCACGTCGAACTTGCTTCGTCGTCCTCGTCGGCAAAGGCCCACAAACGCCGGCTGGATGATGCGCTTCAGCAGGGTCGGAATGTTGCTTTGAGAACTGCTCCTCAAGTGTCGGTGTCGGCACTGGAGTCCGCGTTCCGATGGCCCCAGATACTTCTGGCATGTCTGTGTCAGATGTTTGGGCCAGAAGGAATGGCCGGTGTCTTGGACAAACAAGTATTTGTTTTTCATCGTCTTGGTCTTCCAAAGACAGAGAACAATTATGTGTTGATATCACCGGTTTCCGAGGCAGTGGGCTTACCAGAGATATGACAGTGTCCAGCCACTTTTCTGGTGTGGGCACAGTGGAAGTGGCCGTCGGCGTCGTCCATGCTAACCTGCCGCAATTTGTGGCAGGGTCAGCCTCGTGGACAACGGCTTTTGTCGTGGACAAGGCCCGTTCCTGCGTCGATATCTTGAAGGCCAGGCTGCAGAATACACATGCCTGCATCTTCAACGACGTCACGCACTGCATCTCTGACGTGCGAGAGGTCCGTGCGGGAAACCTGATCGTTGAGGATGTCTGGAAGTCCCTTGCGGGCCAGCGCCTGTGTCTACAGCAATGCCTCAAACATGGACATCTCTGCAATGCTTGGGGTGCGAATGCAGACATATCGGGGTCACCCTGCCAGCCCTTCAGCAGAGCTGGCCGACGTCTGCGTCGGAATGACCCTCGGGTGCTTGCGGTTCTGGTCTGGGCACACAAGATGCGTGACGGAACCGCATCTCAGAGCTTTATTCTGATTCTGTCTGTCAGCTTGCTTTGACAAACGGATGAATGGAGCGGTGTTGATTCTGCCCCATCCTACTCATCTGGTCTGAGGCCAGCATCCAGTCCAATGGGCCTTGCATGAAAACGTCCAAGACTTCGATGTCGGCTTGCTGGAGGCCCGTAGTGCTACAGTTCGCTTGTTCAAACAATGGTTTATAATGTGTTGGATCAATCAATGGGTGAGTGCAGGATCTCCACCCTTGCGATTGTGCACGGAGCTGTTATCTGACCTTTACAGCATCCACTCACTACGTGTCAGCCCGTCGGACGTCGGCTTCACGATGATAGCGCGGCCTCGTCTCTACGTCCTCCTGCTTCGGAAGGAGCAGGTTCACCTGGCTGTGGACCTCCAAGAAACGTATGACCGGGTGAAGGCTTACTTCAATGCCAGAGTCGACAGGCCGAATGCTGCGGCCGCGTTGATCGCCTCTGCGGAGGAGTGTCTGGCAGCCGAGAATGATCTGCGTCGGCGAAGAGGCTTCGAACCAGCTTCGATGTCGGCGTGTGACTGGACGTATCTGTTCCCTACCTGGAACCAGTCTCTCCATTTCTCGTTGCTAGTTACAGTTATCGCTGAAAGATAAGTTAAACCAGATTTAGATTTTGAGAGATGGTTCTCAGCAGCATTACGCTATTGCTTCAGACACGCAACTCATGTTGTCGGGAAGGTTGTCAGACGCGGAGCAGCAACGTCTCGCCGACTTCACTGCCCGGCGCCAACAGAAGCAAGGCGTGTGTGATTTGAGTGACAAACTCTCTGCGAAATAGTATATTGTCTTAGTCAAGCGCCTTTCCCGTTTACTACAGGAGATGCAGATCAGGATTATGTCTTCTTCGATTTGTCACAAAACCCCGTTAAGCGGACCAGCTGGACTCTCTCTGGCGGCGCTTTGCCGACGACTCGACATGCTGGGGCGAAGCTCTGGTCTCCGTCCAGGAAACGGTCTCTCAGCAACAATGGTAGGACCCAGGAAGAGTCAACTAGACCAGACTAGCAACTAGTAGTACGGAATCAGCGACTGAAAGAACCACTAGCCGCCTCAGGTTCCTGCTCGCGTGTGAGCTTGCCGCCTGCTTCGGTTTTCCCACCCGGCCTGAGCTTGCGGCAGCTCTGGGTGTAGAGCAAGATACCCAGGCGGCTCGGCTCACAATTCCCTTGCTGGGCAACGCCATGCACGTTGCCAATGTCGGCAGTGTGATGGCTGTGTGCCTGGCGTCGATGCGGTTTTCCTGAGCAGCTGAGCGGGGTTTCCAGCGCCATGACGTTTGTGTCATGTGTCAGTGTCGTACATTCGAAGAACTTAAAGCGCGTCGCAGAGGTTTCAAGAAAATGAGAGTCGCAGTGCTGAAGCTTGTGCCA